CCACGCTCAGACCGCGGACCTTTAAACTGTGTGCGAGCAAACAAGGTGTCCTGACAAAGAAATTAGCATAAAAATTAGCAAATAACAAAAAATCACAATGCTAAATTCTATGCTAATTCCTTTGTCAAGGGGTGCCTCTGCGGATGTGTATACTTTAACTTAGCTATTTCAATGAGCCATTTCAATGCTAAATTCGATGCTAATTCCTTTGTCAAGGGGTACCTCTGCGGATGTGTATACTTTAACTTAGCTATTTCAATGAGCCATTTCAATGCTAAATTCTATGCTAATTCCTTTGTCAAGGGGTGCCTCTGCGGATGTGTATACTTTAACTTAGCTATTTCAATGATCCATTTCAATGCTAAATTATATGCTAATTCCTTTGTCAAGGCGCTTTGTTTTCTTCTCACACAGCTTAAAGGTCGTGATCTAAGCGTGGCTTTTTTCACTCCAGCGCTGTCCTCCAGACAGTCTCGTCCCTTCACCTGATGAAGGCCGCTTGTGTTGTGGCCGAAACATCGTGATTTTTTGTTATTTTATTTTTACCTACGTGACTTTACCCAATAGAACCAAAGAGTATCCCCCATATAGCCTTAACAGACTGTCGGGGCAAGTGCTGTTAGCGAGCACACACAGGTGCTGACACACACACAGGTGCTGACACACACAAGTGCTGACACAGGTGCTGACACACACAGGTGCTGACACACATAGGTGCTGACACACACACACAGGTGCTGACACACACACAGGTGCTGACACACACACAGGTGCTGACACACACACAGGTGCTGACACACACAGGTGCTGACACACACACACAGGTGCTGACACACACACAGGTGCTGACACACACACAGGTGCTGACACACATACAGGTGCTGACACACACACAGGTGCTGACACACACACAGGTGCTGACACACATACAGGTGCTGACACACACACAGGTGCTGACACACAGGTGCTGACACACACACACAGGTGCTGACACACACAGGTGCTGACACACACACAGGTGCTGACACACACAGGTGCTGACACACACACGTGCTGACACAGGTGCTGACACACACAGGTGCTGACACACATAGGTGCTGACACACACACACAGGTGCTGACACACACACAGGTGCTGACACACACACAGGTGCTGACACACACACAGGTGCTGACACACACACACACAGGTGCTAACACACACAGGTGCTGACACACACAGGTGCTGACACACACACAGGTGCTGACACACACACACAGGTGCTGACACACACACAGGTGCTGACACACACACAGGTGCTGACACACAGGTGCTGACACACAGGTGCTGACACACAGGTGCTGACACACAGGTGCTGACACACAGGTGCTGACACACAGGTGCTGGTTGCATGGTAACCGGTGTTGTTGGATAATAACGGGCATGGGTGGAGAGAGAGGGAGAGGAGTGGACAAAGTAGACCGGACAATGAATCCCCACGCCCATGACACCTGACTCCATGGCGCTGTCCGCGTGTGTGTCCGTGTGTCGTGTGTGTAGTGAATGTGTGTATGTGTGTCCGTGTGTCGTGTGTGTAGTGAATGTAGGTGTGTGTAGTGAATGTGTGTAGGTGTGTGTATGTCCGTGTGTAGTGAATGTGTGCAGGTGTGTGTGTGTACTTGTTGGCACAGTAGGGGGCACAGGTGGTGCATCGGCCAGTCATCTCAGTCAGTCGATCCGTGGAACCTGCTGGGTCTGTCCCGTGATCTATTGGCAGTGTGCGTTCGACACTTCACGTGGCCTGAACGTGCACCTAGCCTGGCACACGCATCGTGCTGACGTCACCGCCACTTAGTGGTGATTGGCGGTTGTTCTTGTTGTGTGCTCAGCGGTAAAGTGGAGGGGCAAATCATTTTACTGTAAGCCCAGGTAACGAGGTGTGTGTGTGTGTGTCTGTGTGTCTAACAAGGTGTGTGTGTGTGTAACAAGGTGTGTGTGTGTAACAAGGTGTGTGTCTGTGTGTCTAACAAGGTGTGTGTGTGTGTGTAACAAGGTGTGTGCGTGTCAAACAAGGTGGGCAGCGGTAGTGTAGCGGTTAGCGCGCTGCGCTATGAACCCGGCGACACGGGTTCGATTCCCGTTCACGGCCAACACACCCAGTGACGATTATGCTCGCTAACAGCACTTGCCCCTACAGTCTGTTAAGGCTATACGGGGGGTCTTTGTCTTTGTGTAACAAGCTGTGTGTGTGTCACAAAGCTGAGCGTGGGTGGAGGGACCGGCTTTACCGGCCAGATCAGATTTGTGTGTTTTTTCTCTGTCCTCCACACACACCGGGCGCATGCCGCACCCAAAGATTTTGCTCGAAGCGGAATTTTGCATCGCGGCAGCGTTTGGCTGCGTGCGCCAGGGGTCGACCCGTATCGCCCCTGCAGCGCCAAACGCCGCAGGGGCGACGTGTCAAGACAAATTAAGACGACGAATTCTGTTGCTGGCATCCACGTTCTATGCCGCGCGGTTGCCGACCGCAGTGCTCTGCCCCCCCCCGCAACGCCCCAAAATAGCCGAGGCAGCCCCGCTCCAAGGTGCGATCGATCGGAGGTCGCGTTCCTGGCGACGAGCGAAAGGGGCCTGGCGTAAAGTTGCGCAGAGAAGGACGAGGAGACGCGATGACAGATCATGCGGCGTGGCGGTGGGACACCGTGCGGATGATTGACACCGTGCGGATGATTGACACCGTGCGGATGATTGTCACAGTGCGGATGATTGACACCGTGCGGATGATTGACACCGTGCGGATGATTGTCACAGTGCGGATGATTGACACCGTGCGGATGATTGTCACAGTGCGGACGATTGTCACAGTGCGGATGATTGACACCGTGCGGATGATTGACACTGTGCGGATGATTGACACCGTGCGGATGATTGACACCGTGCGGATGATTGTCACAGTGCGGATGATTGTCACAGTGGGGATGATTGACACCGTGCGGATGATTGTCACAGTGCGGATGATTGACACCGTGCGGATGATTGTCACAGTGCGGATGATTGACACCGTGCGGATGATTGTCACAGTGCGGATGATTGACACCGTGCGGATGATTGTCACAGTGCGGACGATTGTCACAGTGCGGATGATTGACACCGTGCGGATGATTGACACCGTGCGGATGATTGACACCGTGCGGATGATTGTCACAGTGCGGATGATTGTCACAGTGCGGATGATTGACACCGTGCGGATGATTGTCACAGTGCGAATGATTGACACCGTGCGGATGATTGTCACAGTGCGGATGATTGACACCGTGCGGATGATTGTCACAGTGCGGATGATTGACACCGTGCGGATGATTGTCAATCTGCATATTCCGTGACCGCAAAGTCGCCGTTTGTTGCTGTGTTCAGCCCCTCCACCACACACCGCCTCCTTGCAGTTTGCGTGGGTCCAGTTTTTGGCTTGACTTTGGCACTTCAGCAATGATGATTTTAGATAATAAAAATTTAGCGGCCGTTTGTCAATTCACCCCACGCGCTTTGTCAGTCGGAGCCAGTCGTGCAGGTTGGTGAAAGTTGGACCCGGTGGGGGGGCGGGGGGGGAGGACCATTTCGGATATCACTCAAGCCGGGTGACACCGCTGCGGCAAGGAATCAAATTCACGTGGCTGGTTTCATAGCCCAGTGCCCGAGCCAGTGACGCTCCCGCTCTCGCCCACGGTATGTACGTGCGAACGATGTTGAACGTCTCTCGCACCGCACGCAGCCAACCGTGCTAATCGGAGGTGCTTTCCTTGCCAATAAATAGCTTTTGACCCGCTTAGAAGAGTCTCTTTGACGTTCAACATTAACGGGGAGCGCACAACCACTTTTCTTTTTGCGTGCGAACCTTTAGCACGTGACACTACTGGTTATCATGAGCGCGGTTGTGGCGAAATTAGTGCGGGATGAATGAGCCAGGCGTACGCTGGGGTTCCCACGTCCGCGTGTTGCGCAACGCGAACAACGAACACCGGCCGCCCAGAAGCAAATTTACGCGCGGACCTGGCATGAGGCCGTCTCCGGGGTTTGCGAAGGCAAAGGTGGAGTCCTGCAATGTCTCGCCCACGCCACTGCTGGCACGGGGGCCCTCCACAAGAGGGAAAGGTTGGAGGGGCTCTCCAGAGGTTATTTTGGCCTACTCTTCCACGCTGGTCAGACGTCTTGAAAGAGGTGGGGGCGCACCCACACTTTCGCCCACCACAGGTGACCGAACGATTCACGTGGTCTACCCATTCGTACTTCTGGGTGGGCAGATGTGGGGGGGTTAACAAGCGTGCACCGTTGTGTGGTTCTACTGCAGTGGTTTTCACTGCAAGGCCCGTGGGCAACTGGCGGCCCTTGGTAGCCTTTAGTGCGGCCCCTGACAATACACAATATGTGAACACCCCCCCCCCATCATCATCGTGCTGCTGTCAAACCCCCAATGGCTTCATATGTGTGGCGGCCCTCGTAGCGATGTCTTATCGGTGAAATTCGTCCCCCTCTGAAAATGAGTGAAGAACGCTGCTCGACCGAATGGCAGGCGCGGAATAAACGTTGAATGGTCTAACCGGCGACCTCTCGACCGCAAGTCCAGTGTGCTGACCACTAACAACCACGGCAGCATCCCAACCCCAACCCCCCTCTAGGTTGACTCAGCCTAAAAACGAGAGGCAGGTGCAGTCATGGAGCGATGCACCTTTAATTCATCGAGATTGAAAACTCGTTTATTAATAACTGCTTTTGTGTGTGTTTAGTTTGTTGTATTTCCCCCGCATCTCGGATTAGCGCGGTTGGATACGTACTGCGCGAAACAAGTTCAACGTAGTACATCCGTTCATTCATAAGTGGCCGGAGCGTGCATTGTGGTGGCAGCGGTGGCGGCGTTGGTCATTGCGGGCGCGGCCAGCCTGCCGCGTACGCGCATGCCGTGCCGACCCTAATGGGGTGCCTGCTCACGGAACTTGATGCCGACTCCGCTGCTTGTGTGCCGCAGGGCTGGATCGGGAGGAACATTCGGATTCCCGTGTGCAGCGCGTACGTTGCTGACATTGAGCTGGCACACAATGGGCGGTGAGTAGGAGCACGGTCTCGAGATCGGCGCCGGTGGTGATGGGGACGGTGATGATGATGTTGCTTACGACGATGTTGATCTATTGCTTCTGTTGATGATGACCTTCGTGAGGATGATGATCGTGGCGGTGGTAGTGATAGTGGTGGTCTTGGTGGGCTGATGGTGATGATGATGCTCTTACTTCTGCTACGGTAATGAAGATGATGGGCAATCGTGGTGAATATAGTGGTGGGATGATGATGATGGAGACTAGTTTCTGTTGATGATCATCGTGGGGAGACAAAGGCGGCCGGGCAAGGTGCTGGCCACCCATCCTCTCATGTCCCGTGTTGTCCTTCACAGGTGCTATTCGCTGACAGCACTTGCCCCAACAGTCTATGAAGGCTATAGGGGAGATCTTAATCGTTGTATAACTACCGCTGCTCATGCGGCTTATGATGATGTTGGTAGTGCTCTGCGTTATTTTAACCCTGCTGTTGCTGCTGTAATGTCAGGGATGCTGGTACTGCTGTTGCTGCTGCAGTTTCTGATGATTAATTGGAGGTGGCACCTTCCCTCCTGCTGTCCCAATATGCTAGAATCGCCTTCCCCCTTGCTGCCCGTTCCGGGTTTGACAAAAATGCGGACGAATATCACGCAAGAGGGTGTTGTCCTGAAAAGTCGATGACAGCAATCATGAAGATTACAAAGATGATGCTGATGATGACTGTGTTTATGACCATGTTGATGATGATGATGATAACAACGATGATGACACCGATGATGACTATGATGATGATGATGACGATCATGACGCTGATGATGATGACGATCATGACGCTGATGATGACGATGAATTGGGACACTGGTGGTGGTATCCTTGTTGCAGGGCGACATGTCAGTGTGGCTCCTCCATGGCTCTGCACACTCACTTGGCGCAGCAGAACAACACTCACCCCGACGACACCGTGTGGAACCCCGACTTGCACACCAGCGACGAGCCTACGGATGCCTACGGCGACTTCATCTGCCAGGGTCTGGGCAAGTCCCAGCGCAAGGTGCCACCATGTGCCACGGAGACGACACGGAACGCCGCCTCAAGCGCCTCCACGCACTCTCCTACCTCTCCCCTCTCCCCTCACTCTACTCCCCTCCACGTACTCTCCTACCTCTCCCCTCTCATCTCACTCTACTCCCCTCCACGCACTCTCCCACCTCTCCCCTCTCATCTCACTCTACTCCGCTCCACGCACTCTCCTACCTCTCCCCTCTCATCTCACTCTACTCCCCACCACACAATGTATTGAATTGTGTAACATCTCTGTCGAGTGTCACTGTCATCATGGTCAGTGGAAAGCCCATGTCACTGTCCACTTTCAACGGGACTACGTTATCCACCAGTGACTAGGTGCCGCTACATTTACCACGATGTGTTTGAGAGTCGCACCCCGGAATCGTGACAAATCACCGATGAACTCTGCGGAGGTGAAAGTTGTTCCCCAACTGATAGACAGAAATCGTTGATGAGTGAACAGGAACCCAGTGTCAACTGAGGTCTTTCTTTTGTAGGGAGACGTGGGTAAATATTACTACACCCTAAAACAAATGTACACTTTAAGCAAACGAACCTGGATCACTCAAATACTCACATAAAGCGAGATGGGGGTTGGCGCATTGAGCTCTGGCTGCGCTATGAACCCGTGCGAGCCGAGTTCGAGTCCCGGCCACAGCTAACATCGGTGGCGCGTGATGCCTGAACCGGACGCTGACCAACCATTTTGTTTTGCCCAGTTTGAAACACTTTCACACGAAGGGTTGAAAGCGTTTATGCGTAGGCCCTGTCCGTCTGTCGGTAACGGAGTGCATATCTGTCAACCCCTTATCAGTGCCCTACTTAATTACAGACCAATTCAGACCTTATTGGTCACCCCGTGTCCTTATATAATTCAGCGTTCATCCTACAAAGTCCCATCACAAGGGAGAAACACAAACAAATAGACATAAACAGGTTTATGTATTAATTTTGATTATTGATGGCCATGATGCCACTCATCTTGCATGCTGATAATGTCCCATTATTTTTTTTATTTGGCCATATTAATTTTTTTTTGCCCGTATTGAAACGGCTGTACGCCGTATGGACCTGAACTCAATTTCCCTGTACAAGAATACGGGGTAAACCATGTGGGTTGACATGGTATGGGAGTGGGGCGGTGGGCGGGGGTGGGGACGGGGGGCGTGGCGTGAGGACGAATCTCGTAAAGTTGACCCATTGTGAACGGGACTTTAGCGTGAGGTTTGTATTGCTGTCCGGGATCTACCCTGAATTGAAAGGCGGCTGAATTGATCAAAGGGTTGCCTAAAAGTTGGAGACGCAAACAACTCGAGGGGAAAAAAGGGCGACTTGCAAATAATACGCCAACACGTTTTGCCCCGACAGTTTTTCTATCGGCGTCCATGCTGGCAACGAGAACTGGGATGATGGAGGAGATGAATCACCTTGAGATTATAATCGACTACTGTTGTCATGGTCCATTACTTGGGCCACTTAAAAAATGGCGGCTGCACCACCATCCTGCCTCCTGAAGGTGGGAAACCCCCACAGAAGCCACGCCCAGCGTGACGCGACTGCCGATGACATCACCAAACCCCGCCCATCACCTCCCATACAGCGGCAGATTTGATTTTTTTCCGCCGGAACTATTTTCGCACCATTCGATGAGTCGAGCGATTTGTTGACGAATCGATGACCTAACCCTTTCCCCTTCTGATGACATATATGTACGTATGTCATCGGAAGGGGGCAGTCGTGTCTCTACAGTTCCCCTGGGGCGAGTAACAATGTCTTTAAAAACAACGCCGCTACGCCTCCATAAACAAAATGACCGCTGAACCGCTTGCACGTTCTGAGATTCGGAGGTGAACGTCTCAGAACGGGAAAGGGTTAAACAGTCGGAGAGCCCAGCTCTACTGCTAATTTAATACTTCTGAAGATGATTTTGTTATATATATATGAAACAAAAAAAATGCGTGTATGCGAACTCACGTTTTCCCTGCCACCAGTACGCGCGGGTGTCATACAAGACGAGCGCGGACCTGCTGTACAACGTGCTCACACGCACCTGGGGGCTGCGCACGCCCAACCTGGTGATGTCTGTCGTGGGCGGGGAGGCCAACTTCCAGCTGAAGCCGTGGGTGCGCGATGTCCTGCGCACGGGCCTCATGCGCGCCGTGCAGAGCACAGGTTGGTGTGGCGCGATGCGGCGTGGCGCAGAGCGCGTGCGGTGCGAACTTGCGTGTGTGTTGTCGCTAGCCCATCCTACTGCTACTCCCTGCTCCTACCCCCAAGCTGCGACGAGGCGGACCGCCAACCCCTATCACCACTCCTACCCCTATCACTACACCTATCACTACACCTATCACTACACCAACCTCTATCACTACCCCTATCACTACACCTATCACTACACCTATCACTACACCAACCTCTATCACTACCCCTATCACTACACCTATCACTACACCTATCACTACACCAACCTCTATCACTACCCCTATCACTACACCTATCACGACACCAACCTCTATCACCACCCCTATCACTACACCAACCTCTATCACTACCCCTATCACTACACCTATCACTACCCCTACCCTCACCCCTCCTTAACCACTCCCACCTGTCCCTCTAACTGCGACCATAACTACACCACCACATTTAGCACCGTACAGAGCCAACCGTGCTAATCGGAGGTGCGGGGGAAGGACAACAAACTAAACACAAAAGGCAGTTCTAAAGAAATGAGTTTTCAATGTTCGCGACGATGCGGTGTGTGCGCCACACAGCGACGCGTCGCTCCCTGCCTCCCTCTCCGCTGCCTCCTTGCCCCCCCCCCCCGTCGTCTCCGCTCTCTCTCCACTCTCTCCTCTTCCCGTGCTCTCCCAAGGCGCGTGGCTCATCACGGGCGGCCTGCACACGGGCGTCATGCGCCACATCGGCGAGGCGGTGAGCGAGCACTCGATGGCTCGCACGCCCGCCGAGCACAAGGTGGTGGCCATCGGCATCGTGCCGTGGGGGCAGCTCGCCGGGCGCAAGGCGCTGCTCAACAAGCGGGTGAGCGCCGACACGCCCACGCCCGGCCACGTCGCTTCCCGAACCGATCCAAAAAAAACAAAACTACAGTCGACTCTCGATTATCCGCGTGCGGTTTATCCGATTTGCGGATTGACCGCGCAGCTGAGATTTTGACATGAATGAATAACTCGTGGATTTTTCCCTTAAGCCCAAAATAATAATCTAAAAACAGTATCGCATTGTTATTCTTGGAAATGTTTATTACACGTCACGTGCTTAAATCGAACAAATATGTTGCTCTAGTTAATCCGAAATGCACGCGATCACCTCTACAGTACAGTAGTTGCATATCTTTACAATAGTGAGCGGAGTTTGATTGATGTTGATTGCCGTGGCTCTGCTTTCCATTTCGTGGGCCAAGTCTTCTGCACAGGAGCAGGAAAGTGTTATCTCTGAGCACGCACATCGATCGTTGGTTTTTGGCATAGCGATCCGTGGATAATCGAGAGTACTGTATTTTTACTTTACCAGGTAAGGCCCACTGAGCTGTTCTAGCTCTTTTTCAGAAGCGACCTGGCCCATCATAATTGGTAGCTCGACGAAGTGGCTTACCATCACGTGGAATTAACCGCAGCCTAAAAACTCTGAACACACGTTGATTCTAAATGTGGAGGAAAAAAGCGGAGTTTCCACGTTGACCATGGGGAGAGAGAGAGGGAGGGAGAGAGGGAGAAATGCAAACTCCAAATATACAGCAGCAGGCATTGTCAGGGTCGGGATCGAACTCACGACCTCTTGCATACCAGGCGAGGCCGTTAACATCTCCTAGCCACCGCGGTGCCTATCGATCGGGGCTGGGCCGAGCTCTCGGTGACCCCCAGCGAGAGATGCGAGTCTTAAAATGCCCGAGGAGCCATGAGATGGAGCAGCGCAGGGCCGGGTTGTTCGGGGCGCTTAAGCAGCCAGTTCACTCACTCTACCCGCACAGGGAATGCTGCCGCTGGGGAGGGGGTTACCCTTCGAATGTTCGAGATGAGATGCGTGACCTTAGGGGCCCAGAGCTGCCGAGGAATTTAAGCAAGCGCTATGCAAATGCAAAAGGAAAGTATTATTATTATATATCGTGTGGTGCTGTACTGTCCTCTGCTTTCGCCTAGGGTCTCAGGAAGGAGTACACGGTGCCAGGCTGGGAGCGGCCCCTGCTGCCGCTCGACAAGAACCACTCGCACTTCCTGCTCGTGGACGATGGCACCACGGGTCAGCGGTCGACGCACGTGCACATGCTGCGCGTGCATCTTGAGCGGTTCATCGCCAAGCAGAAGACGATGCACGGTGGTGAGTAGTGCACCCGCGGGTGTGAGTGGGGGGAGGTGGCTGACAACTCCAAAACGTGCCCCACGGAACTTTATGCTGCCCAAAAAACACATTAGAAGGCATCTCGGAATAGGTTTTACCCTTTTAACTGGCACAAAAACTGACACCTTTATTCAAGGCATCATGTTTGCAATAACCACAACACAAGCGGTCAAAATGCAAACAAAAAAGACAACTCTGATAATAATATGCACTGTCCTTGAATTTGATTGGTCCACACCCGAGTTAAAAGGGTAAAACCTATTCCTCTATCTTGTTACTGGCAAAGGAGGTCTCATAATGTAAATGCTCACCCCGAGCCCTCAATACTCTGATAGTGCGCTGTTTTTGAGTTGTACGCCTTTTGGCGTCTTCTGGTCCAACACCAGTGGAGACTAGGCTCTAAGAAAAGCCGTCTCGGGTGTGGACCAATCAAATTCAAGGACAGTGCATATTATTATCAGAGTTGTCTTTTTTGTTTGCATTTTGACTGCTTGTGTTGTGGTTATTGCAAACATGATGCCTTGAATAAAGGTGTCAGTTTTTGTGCCAGTTAAAAGGGTAAAACCTATTCCGAAATCTTGTTACTGGCAAAGGAGGTCTCATAAACATTAGAAGGCAGTTGATTGTATCTGCCCGGCAGGGCGGACGTCTGTGAAAAAGATCTTCCATAGTTCACCGGATTCTTCCAGTCTAAGTAAAGATTCTAATTATACTTTTGAGGGTGGCGTAATTTGGTAACATGTGGGCCTCGCAGGAAGAAGTTCCTGGGTTGGATTTCCGAAGCGGGTGCCTTCTCCTTGCAGAGTTTGTGCGTTCTCCCCCTCTGTTTTGCATAAGTTTCCTCCAGGTTCCCCGGTGTCCTGCCATAGCTCAAAGAAAAAAAAACATGCAATGTATCTAACATTGGCCAAACCATCCCAAGGCTGAAAAAAATTCCTGCAAATTATCCAATTGGGATGACACACAGCAACAACATCGCCCCCCTTCTGAGAAAACTCAACGGGACCCTCCTGAACAAAGATTCTTGAGACTCGGTGAGCATTTCCTGGGTAGACGAGCGGGATACCAATCACAATAATGATGATCACCAACTTTTAGACAAACGCTAAGTCGCTCGCAATGAACGCTTTGGCTGTAAGAAAGTAGAAGGCACACAGGGGTTGTTCGTTATTGCGGGAGTGACAGAGGGGAGTGTTGGCCCTAGCAACCCCAGTTACCCTTGCGACCCCAGCGACCCCAGTGTGATCCCGCTTAATGGCTCATGTGGGTTGATGTTGCCCGACAGGGACGGGCTGCATCGAGATTCCAGTGCTCTATGTGCTGATCGGCGGCGAGCTGGAGGTGCTCAAGGTGGGTGGGCGGCGATCTCCCGCAAATCCCTCATCCGGCTGCGGCTGCTCACGGCTCAAAAAGCGTTCGTCGGTCTAAGGGACGAGCGATCGGCTTCAGCCGGGTGGCCCGTCCGCGTACGGAGATGAGTCCCGCGGTTTTTGCAGTACGAGTCGTTGAAGGAGGGGAGAAGGGTGAGGAGTGAGCGGAGGTTTAGTCGTTCGGGCTGCGAAGTGTTTTGTTTGGCGAGCCGGGCAGCGGCCTCGTCACCGCGGAATGAGGCGGCTGTCCTCGGACCTCTGATCAACTCGGTTGGCGGACGGTCTTGGGTGGAGGGAGGTGAGTTGCAGAGTTTAGCAGCGTTGGGGTGCGTGGTGGGTTGAGGCAAAGCAGTGCGTGCTGCAGAGTCGACAGTGAAGCAGAATTGATACGGCGCGATCGGTGCAGTTGAATATAGATACGTCAAATGGGTAGAACGATGACAAAAACTCGAACGCGTCCGTTCATCTTACTTCTTCGCGCTCGCGCACTCCGGCCCACGCAGCACCACAACAAAGCTTGGGAGAACGTTGAGAGAGTCCTGGGGAAGATCATCTAGCGTGGGAGCTCCGAGCGGACGACGCGAAAGGAGGTGACGGAGCGACGTCCGAACGACGCCGATTACCCAGGGGTGGCGGCCGGCAGCAGCTCACCTACGCACCCCCCCCCTCCCTTCTCCCACCCCCCCGCCCCACCACCCACCCCCCCGCCCCACCACCATCGACAGACGGTGCAGGACGCGGTGGTGAACGGGACGCCCTGCCTCGTGCTGGGCGGCTCCGGTGGCATCGCCGATATCATCACGGCGGTGGTGTCCGTGTCCCCCGATGAGATCACTGCTGAGATGGTGGCCACCCACCACCACGTGGCCTTCCCCAACGAGGACGAGCTGAGCGGCGAGCAGCTCAACAAGTGGACCGACGTGGTGAGGGGGAGGCGCGAGGCGGTGGTGGAGGAGGTGGAGGTGGCAGCGGTGGCAGTCGTGGTGGTTGAGGTGGTGGAGGTGGTGGAGGTGGAGGAGGTGAAGGAGGTGGTGGAGGTGGTGGAGGTGGTGGAGGTGGAGGAGGTGGTGGAGGAGGAGGAGGACGAGGAGGTGGTGGAGTGGTGGAGGTGACGAATCCGCCACCGCTCAGCCACGTCACTGCCGCCATTGCTTACGGCACACCCATCCACTCATTGCCATAGCAATGTGGAATTTCCACCGCCGGCTGGAGCCCAGCAAGTGGAGACTACAGCCGACCGACGACGCTCGTTTGGGTATGGCGGCGGCGGCGTCGTGGTCGCCGTGGATATTTCCGCGCGCGGAAACCAGCTCCGCGTGTGTGAGCGTGGGTTGCGTAAGTCTAGGCGCGGCACGGGCGCGTGTGGGCGTTGCGTGATGTACGAGTCGCCGACGGCTCCCGCACGTTGCCAGATCTCGGGGAACGGCCGCCTCCAGCAAATTGGCCCTCCCGTCCCAAACCCCACAAATCTCTCATGGCCCAAATCATGGTTAGATTCTGATAGATGAGTGAAAGGGCATCGTAAACTTTCGTTTTGAAATTGTAATTTAATTGATGGTTTAAAAAAACATATGTCAAACGTGATGACTGTAAATGTCACATTTGGCAACGCGATGAATTGTGGCCCGACTCAATTTCAAAGTGTCACGTGTGTGAATGTAGATTTATTATTATTATCCCTATGCTTGTTTACTCCGGAAAGACCTCGGTGAGCCTCGAGACCATTCTTCAAGAGGGTCCTGCCAATTTTTCCCAGGAGGGATAGGGGATGTTTTGGCCAATATCAGTTACAAATCTATGTTTCTTTAGCTATGGGAGGAAATCAGGGGGCCCAGAGGCAAGGCTTGCAGAGACGCACCCAGGTCGGGAATTGAACCCAGGTATAATTCCTATGAGGCAGAAATGTTACCACTGCGCCGCCCTGCCCGCATGTTTGACCGTCGCTCATAGCTGCTGTGTCGAGGAATCGAGCTACGCAGACTCTTGTGATGTAAACAAATATTGCACTCTGGAGGTAAACGGGAGGCTCGGAGGGAGGTCAAAGCCCTGAGCCTCCACTTATGAGATCCTGGGTTCAAATCCAGGTTACAGCCGCCTCCCATTAACCCGGGGTTTGCCAGTGTAATGAGTTGATGGTCTCAGTCAGTTCACCAAAGAATGAACCCAAAATATATATAGTTGTGCATTAAATGTGGCAAAATTCCACGTCAAAAAATTGAAAATGTTGGTTTGACTGTCATGGAACTCACATTGCTCGGTGTAGCAGGGTGGGTCGGGTTTAACGCTGACCCCCCGCTGTGTCGGCGGACCCAGAGGTCACTTTATGAGGTCCTGAGAAGCAGCTCTGTGATGTCCGCTTCCGCGGGCCATTCGCTCCAACACGAGCGGAAGCCTCGTCTTGGGACGAGGCGCCTTGACGTCGGTTGGGCCTCGGGCCGCGATGCCACGACGCTGGCCGCCACCCAGGGCCGTGTGGCGCTCGGGCCCCGCTGTGAGATGGCGGACTGAGTTCGCGTTATTTGAACCCCGGGCTCAGAAAACTCATTACATTATTTGAGCCCCCCGGGGTAGAGAGTCCAGGGCGCCGCGGTGGCGAGATGTTAACTGCCTCGCCTGGTGGGTTCCATCCCGACCCTGACGCCTGCTGTGTATTTGGAGTTTGCGGTGTCTCTCTCCCAGTAGTCGCGTGGATTTTCATCCGGGTCCTTCGGTTTTTTCCCTCCACCTTTAGAATCAGAGTATTTGGCTACTGCTATAAAGTTCCACATGATAAGCCACTTCGTTGAGTTTAACATGTAGCCTTTTGGGACAAATATTATCCATAATACAGGTTTTTTTTTAAAGTTAGATCCCGTAAATATAAATGCATTGTTAAACCCACCACCACCCGACACAGCCAATTAGTAAGGTTTGTCACGTAAACAGAACGTGTCAATTCGTTACGAGTACAGCACACCGGTGTGTTGGAGAGTACATCCACAGCATTTACAATCTGGGTACGACGTTTCGCCGGTAATTACAACAAGCTTCATCCTCGTTGCGCTATCATTTGTGATAGCCAGGTCGCTTCTGGAAAAGAGCTTACATAGCTCCGTGGGTCTTACCTGGTTACATTTGTTTTGTTTCGTTTGAAATTACAGCAGGAGCTCAAAGCACCACCTGACACTGCTCTTCCCTCGCCCCCCCCACCCCCCCGCCCCACCCACTCTCTCCCCGTGCAGATAAAGAGCATTGTGGAGCAGTCCAACATGCTGACGGCGCTCACCGAGGAGGAGCACGAGGTCGCGGAGCCCATGGACACGGTGATCCTCAAGTCGCTCTTCAAAGGTTGGTCCGTCTGCCCGTCCGACTGTCTGCCCAACAACCCCCACCCACTGTCGGTCAGCCGCTCGATTTATTCATCCATCCACCCTCTGTCTGTCGGTCTGCCCGTCCGACTGTCTGCCCAACAACCCCCACCCACTGTCGGTCAGCCGCTCGATTTATTCATCCATCCACCCTCTGTCTGTCGGTCTGCCTATTCATACGTCCGTCCTTCTGTCTATACATCCTCTCTTACTGCTTATATTCTTGGGTCTTTCGGTGAAGTCACGTAAATAGGTTCAAAGAAAATAATGAAAAATAACCAAAAAACTATGACGTTTCGATCGCAACGCAAGCGGTCGTCTTCAGGAAAAGGGAAACCGATTCCTCTCTCTGCTTGTCAGTGTCGCTGTTCCCTCCATCTCTGTCCCTCCAGACATCTCTCCGTCTGTCCGCTCGTCCATACCTCCCGTCAGTTTGAATCTCATCACTCCGTCAGCCCCTCTGACGTCAATCCTTCAATCCCTACGACTCGGTCTTCTCTTCCTCTATATCCCATCCCTTCCCCATCCATCCGTGCCCCCATCCACGCATCCCTCTGTTTGTCCCTCGGTCCATGTCTCATCCCTCCGATGACTGTTTGTCCATCGGCCTCTCCGTCTGTCCCGTTCTTCCATGTGTCCCTTACCGGGCGACCGCAATAATCGTGTCGTTGTTGTTCTTCCCCCGTATCTGCGATGAGCACGGTTGGCTACCTACGGTGCGAAAGAACTTCAACATAGACACATTGACAGATCAGTGAAAGCTGGCCCCGAGGTGAATATGTTGCCCAGTGTGCCTGGCGGGACTGGTCCCTGGTATAGGAATGTGGAATTTCTGCCACTGACTCGGGGCCACCAATTGAAATGAGCACTCTGGCATTTGCTGTAGGATGTTCACAATTTGCGAAGACTTGTGTTTTGTGCTGTATGATCAACACAGTGCACTCAGCCAGGCGACTCCAGTTTGTGGAAAATTGTATCAGAAACGGTCCGGGGCCTCCCCTAGGTTGACTCAGCCTTAATTGAGTGCTTAGTGTGGTGTATAAGCATCAGCGACAAGTGAATGTAAGGATGTATGTTGAACTTCTTTCGCACCGTACATAGCCAATCATGCTAATCTGAGGTGCAGTGGAAGGACAACGAACTAAACACAAAAATCAGTTCGAAATAAATGTGTTTTCAATCTAGATGATTTAAAAGTGCATAGCCGCAGTGGCTTTCTAATATCAAAAGGAAGAGCATTCCAGACGGCCGCAGAAGCACATCTGAAAGCGCGCGATGCGGTAACCGTCTTTGTTCGATGGACCAGCCAAAAAGCTGCTGCTGCTAGGATGACCGGAGTTTGTGCGACGGTCTTATGCTCCTTGACGAGATCGGCGAGGTAGCGTGATGCCGACAACGCCTCACCCCGTCGTGCGCCGTGCCACCCCCCGTGGGTTGCTCGCTTCACGGCGCTTGCGTCATCGGTCTGCTAAAAGCCGTCCGCGGGATCTGCCTGTCGTTTGCCGGGTGCGCGTTTAGCGTGCCGCGGTAAGAGTCACGAGGCGGCTGAGTACAAGGACGAGCTGAACCTGGCGCTCGCCTGGAACCAGATGGACATCGCCAAGAGCGAGATCTTCAATGGCAACATCGCATGGAAGGTAACGGCGGGCTCTGGCGCAAGCGCCTGGTCGTTCGTAAACTCGCGCGGCACGGCGGCCCTGCATCGTTTCCCGCGGTTGTCGCCGCACAGCCCGCCGATGTAGGCCAGGGCTCGTTCCGCTTTTATTCTTTATTCTCCCGAGGCTTGGGATGTCCTTTTTTCACGTGAAATTTTACGAACGTTACAAATGTGTTTACCAATAAACGATTGCATGCACGTACGTGTTTTTAACTTCTTTCGCACCGTACGTAAACAACCGTGATAATCGGAGGGGCGAACGATTGAACGGTGGGTGGGTGGCGACGTTGGCGCTGTTGAGCGTGGAGCGCCAGCGTCGTTATCTACGAACGACAGCTTGAGCCGAACGCCGCTCGTTTCTGGCATATCGTATCTCTCGCGGTCGCGCTGCCGTGCGCAGCTCCTCTGACGTGGTTTTCGGGTTCCTCCGTGTGATGTTGTTCGCGAGCAGAGAGCCACTTCAGAAACTGAATTTAATTCTGGGCACATTATAATCTTTACAATGAGTAGTTAAGCATCGTGAGTGGAGGTTTTTTTTTTGGTCCCTCCACCACCACCCCATCAGCAGAGCCCAGCCCCGGCGTCCGTGGTATCGACGAGTCACCACGGGGTGGTAAGACGACGCGTCGTAGCGCACCAGCTGTGGCCGCGACCCGAGCGTGCGCCCGTTGTGCGTTGCAGGCGAAGGACCTGGAGGAGTCGATGAACGTGGCGCTGGTGAGCGACAAGCCCAACTTCGTGAAGCTCTTCGTGGAGAACGGCGTCAACATCGGCGCCTTCCTCACGCTGAAGCGGCTGCAGCAGCTGTACTGCGCCACGGCACCCAAGAGCGTCCTGTACAAGCTGCTAAGCGACAAGCTGGCGCGCCGGAAGGATGAGAAGGTGGGATCCTTCCTCTTCGGGAAGACCGACGACGACGAAGACAGCGGCGGCGGCGGCGACGAAGCCGACGCGGCCGCCACGGTGGCGGAGGACGAGGCCAACGGCGGCGCGCTGAGCGGCAGCAATCCGGACGTGGGCCGCAAGCCGGGCTTCACGATGCGCGATGTGTCGCTGGTGCTGCACGACTTCCTGGGCGACGTGTGCGAGCCGATCTACCAGGACTACATGGAGAAGAGCTCGCTGAAGACCGTGAGTCGCCGCTCCAGGCACGGGGTTACCATCGCCGCTCCCGATGGCTGCTTGGACGCGAGGCCCTTGGCGGTGTTAGGCCCCCCACCTCCCCCCACCTTGCGTTTAAAGGAACCGCTGGGAGGTTGTGTTTATGCTCCCGGTCGCACCTTGAGAGTGGCAATTGTTTGACCCTTTGCTGGCGGTTCCCGGAAGCCGTTTTCAGATCAGGAGGGGCAGGAGGAGCATTTTGGTTGCGCCGCTCGCTGCATTTGGAATTCCGTCACAAGTCATATCGTGAATGCCGCTGTCAGCTGGTGAGTGAGTACTAAATGAGTAGGTGATTCAGTGGCCGAGTGGCTAAGTGAGCAAGTTGTTGGGTGAGTGGGTGGGTTGGTGAGTGAGTGAATAGGTTGTAGTTGTGTCAGCCACGCAGCCAAAGTAAAATATAACAACACATCTGGCTGCATGAGCTTTTCCTTTACCTGGATTAATTGACTCAAGGTTTTCATTATTGTCAGAATTTGTATTGTGAAGTGCCCAGGGATGAGCTTGGTGTGAAGAGCACAATATAACAGCAAGACGTATGGTATAGTCTACGGTAATTACTAGTACTGTCAATTGCCTATGACCAACATCATCTACAGTTTCCCGATCGAACTGCTCATATAATAAAGAGTTTGTCGTAGATAGTGCTTGGACTTATTGGGTTTCCCCTAAAAAGTAGAATAAATAACCCAGGCGTGTTCGAATCCGCGTGCTTCTGTTATTTGAATAAGTTCTCGACAGACGTGTCTCTGATTCGTAATTTTTCTTGGATTCAGATCGGCGCGCAAGTGATATTTCGTGTCGTCACACGCTCCTCCATCCGACGCGGCCAATCAATAGAGTTGTTACTTGATGACCAAACGGGCCGATGTGGTACCGCTTGATTTAGAAATTTACCTGTAGTGTCCTGATGATAATTGTCTGATTAGATCAAATCTCACGTTGAACTTATTTTGTCATATAATGTATTCACAAAATGACTGTTAATTTGCCCTGTTTGGTGAGTAGGTAGTACGTGTATGGTGGGGAAGGATGTATATATAAATATATTTATTTGATCCATTCCATACATTTTCTTAACCTATTCTTCTGGGAAAGTGAACAATAATATGTATATAAAACTGGCAATTGCCGACCCGGGTAAATGGGCCATTTCCGCTCATCGCGCCGTTGCTTAAATTGGTCGCCCTCAGCTGTTCAAGAGCAAGGGGAAGGAAGTGGAGCAGGCTTACACGGACGAAACCGACTCGCCAACCTTCGAAGAGGATTCCACGAGGCCAAAGATGTACCCCTACAGGGACCTCTTCATCTGGGCCGTGCTGCAGAACCGGAGACAGATGGCGCTCTATTTCTGGGAAATGGTGAGGCTCTCCGGTGGGTGGGTTCAGGGCCTTGGTTTGCGGCAATATGACTAGGCCAGAGGCAAACCTTTCAAAGAAGAAAGGGCACATTGCTGGGGTTTTTGTCTTCGACCAAAATAGTGCGAGGGCTGCATTGCACGCAGAGCTACTTCTTCAATTCTTCTATTTCGTTTCTTCCCCCCCCACCCCTTAGTTATTATTTTGAACAATACGGCTTGACCGTACATTTGTGTCCTCACCAAGACGGTAACGGGGTGCGTCTCTGGGAAAGTCTGGCCCCGTTTATGACGATCCGATTTGCGACGACGGGGTTTCCAGGAACGCGTTGTAACGTCGTCGTAAAAGCGGGGACCACCTCTGCTTAGCACTTTAGAGTGTAAACATCTGAATAAAGTGAATATATATTTGTTTCTAAAAATGTCCTCCATCTCCAGGGCATCCTCTTTTCAGAGGAGCCTCCCTGGGAGATCTCCAAGCCTTCGCGGGACATTGATTTCCCACTTTTTGTCAGCTGCGAAAGAACACGCTGCTCAGGATGAGGCCCTTCCATGTAGTTGCTCCCTTCTCCCGGCAGTGTGCGATATTCTACTCCGCGCGACACGTGCCCGGCATTGTGCACCTCACGGGTCGCAACCCCCAGTCGTGGGGGCTGGCCGCCTGGTCGCTTAATCCCATTCACCAATTGAAGACCGTGGAGTCGAAGCGATTTCCCCCACGACTCTGACGGAGTGGTCGCATAGCAGTTGGAAGTGGGGCGCACGGCAGGCGTGACACGACGACGGCACAATTTGGGATTTGTGTGGCGTCCAAAATTAGACTGCATCTCAAGTCGCTCGATGGAAATGGTGGTGTATAGGGGCGCCACGCTAGCTAGGAGATGTTAACTACCTTGCCTGCTATACATTTGGAGTTTGCGTGTTCTCCCTGTGGTCGTGTGGATTTTTCTCCGAGTTTCTCTGGTTTCCCCCCCCCCCCCCCCCCCCCACATTTAGAATCAACGTGAGTATTTGGCTGCAATAAATGTCCACACGTGATAAGCCGCTTTGTTGAGCTACCATTTGTGGTCAGTTTGCGTCTTTAAAAAAGCTGCACACTGCTCAGTGGTAAAAAAAACAGGTTTTTTTGCACGTTAAACTTCTTTTGCACCATACATAGGCAACCGTGCTAACCGCGATATTGCGGCGAGCGTCTAAAGAGCCGAACCGCTTCGCCCTGCCCGCTGCACGCACTCGGGAAGGGGTGGGTGACGTGCGTGCTCTCTCAACTCTCCCCCTGTGTGTGCGCGCGCTACCCACGGGCAGGGCCAGAACTCGGTGGCGTCCATGTTGGCCGCCATGCGCATCCTCAAGGGACTGTCGCGCCTGGAGCCCGAGGCCGAGGCGGCGCTGGAGATGAAGGACTTCATGGTGATGTGCGAGAACATGTCTGTCGGTGAGTGGGGCGTCGCTGGCCTCGCCGAACAGAACCCCGACAGGATCACGAAACGTCACATTAATAATAATTTGCATTTTGTCAGGCGCGATTCATCCGGGGACCTCGGTGCGCCGTGCACGGAGTTAGGAACTATAAATACTGCAGAGTCCACTGGTCGTACCATGGGAAGTTTAGGCCTGCAGGTGAAACAACAGACTTGAAGCAGGGCAAGTGAGCTCGCCTGTCTAGCCACTGGTGGGGAGGGCGTTCCGTCGCTTTGCGAAGGCTCGGTCCACCGTAGGCCTCGCCCTAACTCTGACATTACGCCGTCCGCTTCACAGTGGATCTTAAAGATCCCCCTGATGTCATTCGCAAGAGTAGGCCGCTGTGTGCCGGCGTCACGGTGCCTAATTTTAAACAATTACCAGATTTTGTAAATATGCATAGCAATCGTCGCCCCCCCCCCCCCCCCCACCACTGGAGAAACTATAGCAGGACCCTTCTGAAAAGGAGTTAGGAGACTCTGGATTTAATGGGCAAATAAATAAACTGGCCGGTGGGGAGGGCGGTGGCCTGGGGTGGGGAGGGCTGGTCAGCAACAACTCTCGTGCTTGCGTGCACCACTAAATGCACCACTGTTGCTGCGTGTAATTCCCACCGCTGCTGCTGCCGCCGCCGCTGCCGTTTGTTTCCCGGGAAACTGCAGCCGTGCTCAACGAGTGCTACCGGACGAGCCAGGCGCGCACCTTCAAGCTGCTCGTGCGGCAGAGTCCGTCGTGGGGCAACGCCACGTGCCTGCAGCTCGCCTCCGAGGCCAACGCCGAGGCCTTCTTTAGCCACAGCGCCGCGCAGGTGCTCGCCGACGGCAACCACCGGGGAGCCTCGCGGCTACGTCGGTTTTCTTTTTTTTCTTTCCGTGACGCGATGCAGCGTGCGCGCGCCGAGGTTTGCCGGGAACGGCGGTAGGATCCGGCGGCGCACGAATCTGGTGTCGCGGTAATGTCGTCGTCTTGTTCGGATCTGTAGCTTTTAAGGAAAGCCGTCCGCGCAACAGGAGCCTTCGCTTGTAGGCCGGACGCCAACGGATCTAACGACGAAGGCGCGTCGCCACCGCATCGCACATACACTGCTCTCAGCCTTGTCTAGACCACCAACGCGCAAAGGTGCGTGCGCTCTCCTTTCATTCTTGGGCCGTAATACGACGTCACTCAGTTCTATTGAGTTGGTGGCTTAGACAAGGCTTTGAACATGCTTAGAGAAAATTGTAAACAGTGTGGTTATTTGATGTGACCACAAGGCATGCTGGTCATGCCTTGCATGTCATGCCTTGCATGCATGAGAAGTATACCAAGGCATGATGGGAGTCACGCCTTCCTGCTGATTGTGAGGAGCACACCATTGTGTCTGCTGTAAAATCTGTTTCCTCTTGCGTGCAGTTTTCCTGCCGCAATTGTTTTTTCTCATCGTTTACAGAACGGGATTACATTGGGCTGCGATGCTATTTTTCCTTAACTTCTGCGTCTTAAGATGTTTTTTTCCTTTTATCATACCTTGCTTCCTGTCATTTCACCGCCCTCTAGGACCTCCTCAACGACATCTGGTGGGGAGACATGTCCAACGAGACTGACATCTGGAAGATTTTCGCCGTGTTCTTCTGTCCTCCGCTGCTCTACTGCAACCTGATCGAGTTCAGGTGCTGCAAATTCACCGAGCTCGCTCGACCCGTCCGCGAGCGATGGGTCGCGGTTCACGTCACATTCGTCTCGTTCAGCGCGCGCGTGTGTGTGTGTGTGTGTTACTGGCCACCCACCCCCCCTCATGTGCCGTGCCGGCCTTCATAGGTGCTCGTTAACAGCACTTGCCCCAACAGTCTGTTAAGGCTATACGGGGGACCTTTGTCTTGGTATGTTGAACTTCTTTCGTACCGTACGTGGCCAACCGTGCTAATTGGAAGTGTGCGGGGGAAGGACAACAAACTGAACACAAAAAGCAGTTCTAAGGAATGTATTTTTCAATCTAGATTTTAAAGTGCACAGATCCAGTGGCTCCTTAATATCTGAAGGAAGAACGTTCCAGACGGCCGCAGAAGCGCATCTGAAATCGCACGATGCGGTGACCGTCTGTGTTCGACGGCTAGCCAAAAGCCGCCGTTGCGAGGATGACCACAGTTTGTGTGATGATTTATGCTCCTTATAGAGGTCAGCGAGGTATTGTGGGTCATTTGCGGCAAGCGCTTTGTGTGTGTGTATTGAGTGTGAGGTCGAGCTGACCTGGTGGTGTACAGGGCAGGGCGCAGAGCCGATATCGTCAAGATGCTGGGTTTGAATCCCTGTTTCAGCCGTCCGTGATTATAGCGTGTTCTCTATCGACTTGGCCACACATGATAGCTCATCGGAGTGGCTGATATCATCATAATCATCATATGTGGAAATTTATAGCAGCAGCCAAATCAATTAAACTCATGTTTCTCAATGCGGAAGAAGACAAAACCAGAGCAATCTGGAGAAAACTTCATGCGGCCAGGGATAGAGAGAACGTGCAGACTCCAAATATGCAACAGGCATCATCAGGGTCCGAATCGAACCGACGAACTCCTGCGTACCAGGCAAGCGAGATACAAATATTGGTTTGACTGTCACGTTGTAACCATTACTCTGTAGTAGCAGGGCTGGTGGGAAAGTGCTGCCCTCTAGTGTGGTGTGGACCAGACGTCACTTGAAGAAGGGATGTCCAACGTAGCTCTGTGATATCTGCTTCTTTGTACCACGACGTGACGACGATAACAGAATGGGGACACAATCCTGGGAAGGCGTGAAAAAAAAAAGTTCGTATGAGGCTGATTCAACGCAAACCCACTTCAACCCGGACCTAACCCATCACCCCAGAGCGGCAGGCGATGGTCGATTGAACGGGAAGAATAAGATTCTTGGCCCACGTTTGGCCGCAGGAACGCGAGCGGGCGTGGCGGCGGCGGCGGCGGCGGCGTTGTCGTGGCCACGCGCGACGCGTGGGCGTTGTTACCGGGGGTTAAATCTAGAAGCGTGAGGCATGGACCCTGCGGGGTCGCTCCCTCCGGGTTGGGCGGCTGGGCGACGACCGGGTGTGACGGTGCCCGCATTGAGGTGTCGAGCCACAGCTGTCCGCCCTTCTTATATCAATCTCAATTATGTGATGAGTCTCTCGGTGGCGGGCAGGCGGGCGGGCGGGTGTTTTTTGCACATCTGCAGACGTGACCGAGCGTTTCGTTCAGCGCGTGTGTGTGTATGCGTGGTGCTGGCCACCCACCCCCCTCGTGTGCCGTGCCGGCCTTCATAGGTGATCGCTAACAGCACTTGCCCCAACAGTCTGATAAGCAGGGACGTGCGGTCAGGGGAGGCAGGGGAGGCAGGGGAGGCAGGGGAGGCAGAGCCTCACCTGTCATACTCCAATGAAAATAGCTGTTACGAAAAGTAAAACAAAAGAATAATCAAATAAAATATATATTAAGATTTTTCCACTGATCTGTGTTATAAATGTCATTTCTGCTACGATTCCAATCATTTTTATAGTCCAAATCGACAAATTTGCGGAGCTCCGCTGCAAATACAGTAGAGACGAGAGGTGAGGCAGCGACGAGCTCAGCCTCCCCTCTGATTGCGCAACCCCTCAGTAACTAGAAGGAGCGCGGGCAATAAGCGCGTGCCTGTTACTATCTCAGTGTGTCACCAATGTAATGTTTGTAGACCCCTTCATTTCATGTCCTCGCCTTCCATACTACAGGTAACTTATTTCACGTATGTGTATAAAGATATTTAGGCTCGCTGGTCTCGTCATGAAATTGCAATGAAAAAGCAGCAGGGGAGGCAGCTATCACATCTGCCTCACTTAGGGGGACGTGTCTAACACGCCCCCCTCCGTGAGGCCACGCCCCCCTCAGTGTGTGTGAATCTGGCTCTGACACTCGCCAGTGCCTCCCCAGCCATTGACCTCACCGCACGTCACTCATGTTAAGTCTCTCACCCCCCTTCAGTGGTGTTGTCAAGGAGCTGCGGGGAGGGGGCGGGTTACGGGGCCCGGTGTGTTCGTTGCATTGAAGCGGTGCCGATAACGCCCGCCGTTGCCTTTAATCGGAGCAGGTGACCGGCAGCGACGTGTGCCTTAGAGGCCACGCATTCTGACGAAGGAACTGACGATGAAAATTGCACGCCGAGGCACGTATCATGTTCATATGTACATACGTACGTTGAACGTCTTTCGCACAATTCGTAGACAACCGTGCTAACCGGAGATTCTGGGGATGGACAACAAAATAAACACAAAAAGCAGTCCTAAAGAAACGATTTTCCTAATATCAGAAGGAAGAGCGTTCCAGACGGCCGCAGAAGTTCATCAGAATCAGAATCAGAAAGGGTTTTATTCGCCATGAAGTTCACACCGACACGGAATTTACTTTGGCAGGATGGTGCATACATTCAACATATAGGAATCTAAAATCTTAAATAAGTTTTGAACAAGTCTTACTATAATAAGGGTTAAAAGTCTAACACCAAGGGGCTGAAGTATATAAAATTGAATAAATATCGAATATAAAATAGCTTTAAGATATAATTTTAAAATAATAAATACAAATAGGGTAACATAGTTAATATCGGCAAGGTGTCATTTTATAGATAAAATGTTAAAAACAGTGTAAGCCCTTGGCCTTGTTTAACAGGCCAGCAGCAGATGGGAAGAAACTGTTTTTATGGCTTGAGGTTTTGGTCCTGATGGACCGAAGCCTTCTGCCAGAGGGGAGTAGCTGAAACAGAGAGTGTCCAGGGTGGGAGAAATCGGCCATAATCATCTGAAATGCAGGCGCACGCTTGTAATTCACACGGGGGGGGGGGGGGGGGGGACAGAACGACGAAGGCGTGGATTGGAGAACTTGCGTGAGTTAGCGACGTCGCGTGTTTACTGTCGAGGAAAGCGAGCGTGCTTGGGCATGGCACGTTGCTCGGAGTGAAGATGGCCGGCCGTCGAGACTAACCGCTGAGCGACCAGGAGAGAAGGGAGCGCGTCCGAGAGTGGACGTCCGCCGCGGAGATGGAGCGATTTAATTCCGCTCGTGTGCAGGTGCCGGGTGGATCCTTGCATCACGAGATTGCGAGAGGTGCTAATGGCTCGTGGAGGACTACATCAAGCAGTGGATAGATAGTGGATGATGCCGATGGCACACGTGGTCAGTCTCGGCGGCACGGCGGTTGAGCGTACAGCTCGTGACGAGAAGGACGTGAGTTCAAAATCTCGGCCGGGCCCATCATCAATCCTGGTTCAATAAAGTGGGTACCACTATGCGGGAGGTCCGCAGCGTTCGACCTTTGGATAGACTCGTCCGCCTTGCGTAGGAATGTTGAATCTCCACTGCGAGCTCGGGCCTGTATTTGCCCTGCGCTTGCACGCGTTGGTGGTTTGTTTTAATTGGACAGAAGTACGTGCACGGTGAAGCTCACGGGCACTAAACACAGTGGCTGGGCACAGGCTCAAAGTCCCCAAAACGGTTAGCGGCGAGCAACAAGCAACACGGTGAAAGTTGAAAGTATAATAAGAGTTCACACCTTTCTTGATTGGACAAGGATATGAGTGATTTTTGGGGGGGACAAAGAGATGACAATTGGAGGGAAGAAGCAGAAAGAGAAGTGTTGTGACCTGCAATGGTGGTGAGTGTGTGGGGTGCGCGAGTGAGCGGTTGAGTGCATGAGTGAGCGGTCGGGTGCGCGAGTGAGCGGTTTGGTGCGTGAGTGAGCGGTCGGGTGCATGAGTGAGTTGTCACCTGCAGTGATGATGGTCGAACACCAGTGTGATGGATGAGACAAAACAGTCTGCTAGGCCGAGTCCACAACACGGGTGAAGGAACCCCTACGGGTTAAGTTCACGGGTACAGTGCCCGTGGTAGTAGCAATGTAAGAGCGCTATGGAGATGACTGACCGCCGGTGAGCGAGCGGTGGCAAGATGTTAACTACCTCACCTTGTATACAGGAGGTTGTGGGTTCAATCCAGACCCTGACACCTGGATATTTGAAGTTTACATGTCTCTCTCCATGTGGTCGTGTGAATCTTTGTCCGGGTCCTCCACATTTAGAAACATGCGATAAGAGCATTTGGGCGCGATACATTTTCACACCATGAGCCCGCTACGTTTGGCTATCATTTGTGTAAGACCAGGTCGCTTCTGAAAAATAGCTACATAGCTCAGTGGGGCCTTACCTGGTAAAATAAAAATTAGTTTCTAGTTTTTCAACGGGCCGGTGTGACAATGGCCGTCTCACCGCACCCACCTCCCCCGTGACCTTGTGTGGAGTGCAGCGAGCTCAGCATACAGAAGCCGTCGGCGTTGGAGATGGACAGCGTCGCAGATGGGGAGAACGTCGTGCTGAGCCTGCTGCAGAGACTGGACGAAAAGTGAGCGGGCCCTGCCTGCCACCCACCCGCCCATACACCTGCCTGTCCCTCCCTCGCACATCTCCCACCCACCCAGCTACATCTCCCACACCACCGGCCCCTATTACCTGCCCTTCTTACTCTCACACATCTCCCACCCACACCAAAGACAAAGTTCCCCCGCATGGCCTGACCAGGCTGTTGGGGCAAGTGCCGTTAGCGAGCACCTTTAAAGGCCGGCACGGCACACGAGGGGGTGGGTGGCCAACACCACGCCCGGCAGCCGTTGTCTCCCCAGTGGCGATGTTTACACACCGCACCAGGTACTCATTTGAGGCTGAGTCGACCTAGGGGAAGCCCATGACCGGTCTGGGCATTCGTCATCAGTGTTGGCCATGACCGGGAATCGTACTCGGGTCGCCGGGTTCATAGCGCTGTCCACTAAATTAAAGTGAGTGGCCCTGCCACACATCCACCCCGACCCCTGCCTCTCCCACTCTCACACATCACGTACTCTATGTAGGGGGGGGGGGGGGTGGGTGCAACCCTTTCTGGCTCTCTAAACCCACGGACTTTGTCGTTTTCCCACGCAGGGACATCGAGGGGGTGACCATGTCGATGAGGGAGCGCTACACCTGCAGCCGCCGCTGGACGCGCTTCTGGGGGGCGCCCATCATCGTGTTCCTCGGCAATGTCGTCACCTACTTCATGTTCCTCTTCCTCTTCGCGTACGTGCTGCTCGTCGACTTCCGCCCCCCGCCCGTAGGCCCGCGAGGGCCCGAGCTCTTCCTCTACTTCTGGGTCTTCACGCTCGTGTGCGAGGAGATACGCCAGGTGAGTCGGGGGATGGGGCAGCCAATGGGGGGGGAGGGCGTGCGAACTATATTTCGTGCGTCGCGAGCGTAAAGCGACGCGGAAAATTTATTCTCGCAATGAATGTGTCTGGATTTGTGTTGTGGCGACCTCCTCCACGAACGGACGTGGCCACAGAGGCTAGGAGATGTTAACTACTTCACCTGGTGTACAGGAGGTCGTAGCTTTGATCCCAACCCTGACGCCTGCTGTATATTCGTAGTTTGCGTGTCTCTCTCCCCGTGGGTTCGTGGATTTTTCTCCGGGTTCTCCATTTTTCACTCCACATTTAGAATCAACATCCCCACGCGTTCAGAGTTTTTGGCTGCTTATAAACTTCCACGTGGTAAGCCACTTTGTTGCGCTATCATTTGTGGCCAGGTCGCTTCTGAAAAAGGGCTACATAGCTCAGTGGGCCATACCTGGTAAAAGAAAAACAGCTTAGTTTAATAAAAATCGGCACGCTTGCAGGCATTTAACAGCGCGCCAATTGTTACCCTTCCGGCTCGCGCACCCGGCGGGTCGAGGCACGATTCTCACAGCCAAATAGTAGCAGCAGTTAGACGCACGACGTTTTGCTGGGGACTTCGCCGAGCATCATTGGGACGAGGGCCAGGAAGTCCCAATGAACAAACAACACAGGAAGCGAGGATTAGCGCGTCGTTTCTTTCCCCGTCGGCAGAGCTTCCACAAGGTCGGCAACATCTCGCTTGTGCACTCGCTCAAGCAGTACATCGAAGACTTCTGGAACAAGTGTGACATCATCGCCATTTCCCTCTTCATCCTTGGCCTCATATTGCGGTGAGCTCTCGCGGCGTCCCTCGTGTCTTCGGCTGCACGCACGCACGGCGATTGCGGCTATTGCGATTACGTGGAAAGGACAAGGACGTGTGTCCGGCCGTGCGTGTGTGTCACACGTATCCGCTTATCTGTGTGTGTCACACGTGTCTGTGTGTGTGTCACCCAAAGAAGAAGAAGCGTGACACAATATTATTTTATCAATTTATTATTTTATTCTCATTCTACGTGACTTTACCGAAAGAACCAAAGAAGAAGAAGCGTGACACACTCTAATAATATTGTGTTATTTTATTTTATCAATTTATTATTTTATTCTCATTCTACGTGACTTTACCGAAAGAACCAAAGAAGATGAATCATTGCAGTCACGAAAGCTTTAAATCGAAATGTGTCACGCTTGTCTGTATGTCACGCGTGTCTGTGTGTGTGTGTCACCTCAGGATGTTCCCGTCCCGGTTTAACGATGGCCGAGTCGTCTTCTGCCTCGACTACATGGTGTTCGCCATGAGGCTCATCCACATATTCGCCGTTCACAAGCAGCTGGGACCCAAGATCATCATCGTGGGGGGCATGGTGAGGTCCCCTTTGACCCCCTGAACCTTGCAGCGGTGACGCAACCGGGGCGACAGCGTCAGCGCCGTTCTTTTTTTGCTGCCCGTTGCCGGGGGGGATTCGCGGTTCGAGCTTCCCCAGCGTGCCGTCCCGGTGAACACTGCGGGCGTACGAATGCGGCGACGTGCACCTCACGAGTGGGCGCTTGAGGTGCCGTGACATCGTTTGAAGAAGTCATTCATCATCGGGCCTTGCGCGCGAAAGGCGTCACAGGTCCCCAAAATTACTCAGTTGGGAAAAAACACAAATTTAACATCGCCCCCTACTGTGAAACCGCTGCGGGCTATACTCGACTGTGAACCACAGCGCGCCTTGACGATAGCCTGGCGCAGTGAGAGTGGCGCAAATACCGAACGTGCTCGCGATCAGCACGGTTGGCCACGTACGGTGCGAAAGAAGCCCAACACACGCATGCGCGTGCGTACAAACGTGCTCGCGATGTGATTTGATGACCCTCGTACCAAGAGGCCTCAACCCCTGCCCCCCCCCCCCCGCCGTGCAAATCGAGATCCAAATCCTCTCCGCCAGAATCGGCATTTGAACACGGACATGCATCGTCCGTTTGTCAATCCAGCGCTGAACGGTGGCCTCCCCACACCTTGCGGGTTGGGGGAGGGGTTATTTGACCATACTTCACCGCGTTGATAAGTGCCGTTGGTGGCGTGTGAGCAGAGAGTCGCAGCTTAACCATCGCTGCCCACCGCGGAGTCCCGCGGCACACCTACCGTAACCTGTGTGTGTAAAGTGATAAACCTACGCAAGCAATATCCAGCCTCGGAGCTGCTTAGCATTGGGAGTATTTCGCTGCTGCTGTAAATGTCCACGTGATAAGCCACTTCCTCGAGCTATCATTTGTGATGGCCAGGTCACTTCTGAAAAAGAGCTACGTAGCTCAGTGGGCCTTACCTGGTAAACAAAGAAAAATATTTTCTTTAGCATCTGAGATCTTGCATACAGGGTCCATTGCTTCAGGAGCTAGGTGGAGATGGTCAGAGATGGCGATGGCTTGGGGAGGCATTCACCCAGCAGTGGATAGATCGTGGCAGATGATGATGACAACTATCCTGGTATCTTTCCCTCATCCCCCCCCCCCTGTGATTTAACAACACGCGAATATGTGCTTACAAACAGCAGGAAGGTACAACTCCCATAATGCCTTACATGCATGGCATTTGGACCACCGCATTGCATGTACGATGCTCTCAGCCTTGTCTACACCACCGGCTCAGTAGAGCTGAACGTGTGGCCGTATTACTGTGCTCGTTTTCTTTCTGCTCTCACCGCTATTCAATGTTTGACTGCCACGCATTAACTGCCATGCGACTAACTCCCCGCTCCTCTTTCTCGCTCTCCCCCTCTCTCCCTCTCATCCCCTCCCTCTCTCCGGCTCGGCAATGCGGCGCTCAGATCAAGGACGTGTTTTTCTTCCTCTTCATCCTGGGCATCTGGCTGATCGCGTACGGCGTGGCCACCGAGGGCCTGCTGCACCCCGACGACACGCGCCTCGACTGGACCTTCCGCCGCGTCCTCTACCGCCCATACCTGCAGATCTTCGGGCAGATCCCGCTCGACGAGATGGACGGTCGGTGTTCTGGCGATGGCGGGGAGTGCGATGTCGTCGTCGTCAATTGTCATCATCGGTGTCATTCTCATCATTGTCGTCCTCGTCGCCAACATCGTTGTCATTGTCGTCATCGTTGTCGTTGTCATCATTGTCATCATCATCGTCATTATTGTCATTGTCACCAACATCGTCATTGTCGTCATTATCATCGTCGTCATTGTCATTATCATTGTCACCATCATCATCGTAAGCAACTTCAGCCATCCTAAACATTGCACTGTATTAGGTGTCATTCATTGTCTTTAGTAAAATGATGATGATTTATAATATTATGATTGATGTTGACGACGATGACGATGATGTCCGTTGGTTCATCAGCCGTGAAGATCTTGAACTGCTCGGACGACTCGATGGAAGGCATGATGGGGAGCAACGCGGCGTGCCCCAACACCTACGCCAACTGGATCGTCATCCTCCTCCTCGTCATCTTTCTGCTCGTCACCAACGTCCTGCTGCTCAACCTGCTCATCGCCATGTTCAGGTGACCACCAGGGCTTCAGCCGTAGTGGGAGCAGAGATGGTCACGACCCGCACCCCCTCCGCCCCCCGCGCTGCCCCGCGTTGCACGTGGACTCTTCCGCTGCGAATGCTGTGCACCAACCGAGTGCCTCGTATTTACGTTGGACCATTCCAGTTGAACGAGTGGCGCGGGGGTGAGGGGATGTGCGGGGATCTGATTAATGTCCCTCCACCTGAATCTCTGGAGTCACCTCATGGCACGCGAGAACATGTTACCGCCTCTTCTCTTTCGTACCGCCAATGTAGATGCAGAGCAACAACTACAATTTCACATGCAGGTGGTCAAATGTCACTGCCTGCTCGACATTTCCACATTTACCAGGGCTGCCACAAGGGGTTTTGGAGGCCCAGGGCAAAATGCCAGATAAGGCCGACCGGGGCCTCTTTCAGAGGCCTCTTTACATCTGAGGCCCTGGGGAACTACCCACGATCCATTGATGAACTTGCGTTATGTTTTGGGATTGCAGTTCGATACAAACATCCGCTTATTTTATAACCAAGAAACAATCAGAAATTCAAACGACAATCGCAATTGTAATTAGTTATCCGGGAATGGCGTCACCCGTGTCTCCAAGGCTCGTTCTCAATAGGGTCCCGCTGCATTGGGATGTTTGGCCGTTTCGATTAGTGAGTGTTTGTGGCAGCACGTGGGAGGAAACCGGAGAACATGGAGAAAATGTCGCATGGCGCTGGGGGGTAACACTCAGCACTGCCACCTCCTGGCAACGCCACGAACGACACCAATTTTGTCGTTAATATTCTGGCACGTGACATATAGATGGTACGTACAGCCTTTTGTTAATCCACTGCTGGAGACGAAGTACACCCCGTGATGTTGTCGGCCATGGGGGTCATTCGACCATACTTCACCATGATAGTGCGAGTTTGTGGGACTCAAACCAGGCGGCGTTGACGGTGGACGGGAATCAAACTGGTTGCCGGGTTCATGGCGCTGTGCGCTAACTGCAGCGCCGCTACTCTCGCCCCTCCCCCCCTCCTCCTTGAGTCCTGGAATTTACGTGACCTTTCCCTCTGCCTGGCTGTGGGACCCAGTTACACCTTCTCGCAAGTCCAGGGGAACAGTGACAAGATCTGGCGCTTCCAGAGGTACAACCTGATCGTGGAGTACCACGACCGGCCCTCCCTCGCGCCGCCCTTCATCATCATCAGCCACATCAAGCACCTCGTGCGCAAGTTCGTCTTCAAAGCCACTGCCGAGAAGCACAAGCACTTCAGTGAGTGACCCACGGCGCGGTTAACGTCACTGTCATTGCGCTCGCTTGACCCAGGAGAGTCTCACCTTGCAGGGGGTCCCTTCCTTGAGCGAGTAATTTCAGGGCTGCGCCTCTACCCTTCTTTCTGGGCTAATGCCGAGCGCCGTCCGAATGCAGTGCAGAAGCTGCAGGAGGACTTGGACCAGCGACTCATGGTGTGGGAGGGCATCCAGAAGGTCAACTACCTGACCGACGCCATCCTTCGTAAGCGCGACTGCAGCGAGGAGCGTCTCAAGAGGACGTCGAAGAAGTGAGTCTGGGCGTGGCCCCCCCAAACCCCCCCCGACACTCGGCGTTGTGGCACGGCGGCAGCCGTTAGATTCCAGCCGTGCGCACCCGTGCGACGTTGGCGCGGGGGTACGAAGGAAATGGCGCCGAGCGCAGGAACGGCCGATTTGAGGCGCACCACTCGCTCTGCCGAGGGTCGCTTCCCGACGCGGAACGGAAGCCGCCGGGGCGGAACGTCGTCGCGCGTTGGTTGCCGTCGAATTCGCTCTTCGCAAAAGTCCGAAGCGGCCGGTGAGCGGATTTATCAGGTCACAAATCTGATCGATTTGTACGACTTTGGCCACGTCGTGCCAAGTAATAACCTCTGCAGACTTGACAAATCCCTCCACAAATGTTGCGGAGGCTTCATGGCAAACGTTTTGGCATGAACACGACTGCCAACATGGCGCTAACCCAAAAACAGATACGGATTGTAGCGTTGGGTACGAGACCCTGCCTTGTAAGTTTGAAGAAATTACCGCTCGGAAGTTCTTATAGAGAGAAGGCAGCGTAACGTCTCCCCGTGTTGTAAAACGTCCCACGGACGGCGACGTCCCTTCAAGTGCCTCTAATCGACACTAGGTGGTGCCACCTTCTCACGTGACTTGCTGTCGAAGAGCTTGTCACGTGGCAGTACACTTGAGGGAAATTAGGTGTCAAGCTAATGCACGTCAAAAGACAAAGATGATCCCCCGTGTAGCGGTCGGAGACTTTTTCTGGAGCAAGTGCTGTTAGCGAGCACCTTTTGAAGATCCTAAACGTCACACAAGGGGGTGGGTGGCCAGCACCATACCTGGCTACCTTTATCTCCCTAATTATGATATTTACACACTGCATCAGGGACTAATTTAAGGCTGAGTCGACCGTGGGGAGGCTCAGGACCAGATGAAATGTTCGCCACTGTTATTGGTCGCGATCGGGAATGGAACTCGGCTCGCCGGGTTCGAGCGCGGTGCGCTAACCACTGAGCCGCCGCTCCTCCAAACACACGCACACACGCGCGTGACCACGCACTCACATCTCATCTCTCCCCAATGCAGAAGGGCCATTTGCCAATACGGTGTCGCCTATTGTATAGGGTATCTTGTTTACCTTCTGGGTTAGTCGTAATTGGCGAACGCGTCGAGGTTTTACGGTTCCCCAATATGGAACTCGCTTTATGAAAAAGAAAAAAACGCAACGGAGAGTGCGAGGGTTGTGCTGAGGGTTGTGCTGAGGGTTGTGCTGAGGGTTGTGCTGAGGGTTGTGCTGAGGGTTGTGCTGAGGGTTGTGCTGAGGGTCGTGCTCAAGGTTGTGCTGAGTATTGTGCTGAGGGTTGTGCTGAGTGTTGTGCTGAGGGTTGTGCTGAGGGTTGTGCTGAGGGTTGTGCTGAGTGTCGTGCTCAAGGTTGTGCTGAGTGTTGTGCTGAGGGTTGTGCTGAGAGTTATGCTGAGAGTTGTGCTCAAGGTTGTGCTCAAGGTTGTGCTGAGTGTTGTGCTGAGGGTTGTGCTGAGAGTTGTGCTGAGAGTTGTGCTCAAGGTTGTGCTCAAGGTTGTGCTGAGGGTTGTGCTGAGGGTTGTGCTGAGGGTTGTGCTGAGAGTTGTGCTGAGGGTTGTGCTGAGCGTGCCGGGGTGGTGTGTTTTGCCGGCAGGCTGGACATGGTGCTCAAGCTGGCACAGGACATCCAGGTCCAGGAGCGGAGACTCAACAGCCTTGACGCCCAGGTGAGGGGGGTGTGTAGAGCGCTCGCGTGAACGTTACTTCATCGTTGCGTCGTCCGTTACTTGTTTTGCTCGTTTTCCCCCAGAGTAAGTCTCGCCGAGTGTCAAGGGGCCGCAGGGTGATGCCGTGGTAACGCTTGTGTCACTTCGCTCTATTACAGTGAGCGCTGTCCCCATCTTGTACAGACACTAGCAACCCGAATGTCCTTTTGACATGAACGACTGACCGTCCGTCCGTCTCTCCACATTTGTCTTGCCTGGGGCATATATCTCAATTTATCTCGATTTCTCGCTGTCTCTTTCTGATTCTCTGTTCCTCTGTCCCCTCTTCTATCCCTCCCTCCCTCTGTATTCCTCTCCTCCCTCCACTGTATCTCACGCACTTCCCTCCCCTTTATCTCTCTCCCTGTTTCTCTCTCTCACCTCTCACTCTCCGTATTCCTACCTCTCCGTTCCCCATCTCATTCTCTCTCCTGCCTCTCCCGAATCCTCCCTCCCACTGCTTGGCACTTTCCCCTCGCTCTCTTCTTTCCGTTTTTGCTCTCTCGCTTCGATCTCTCCATTTGAGACCCCCCTTTCATTATCTCCCCGCCCCCCTCTCCTCTCTGTTCTCCTCCATCTCTTCCTCCCTATTCCAACTCCCTCGTTTCAATCTCCCTCCTCTATCCCTCTCCTCTGTCGCATTTCCTGCGGGATCCACATCGGGGATGGGTGGTGGGGGCAGGGGGGGGGGAGTGGCGTCGGCACGACGCCGTGGGATGCGGGTGACGTCAGCCGGCAACCATTTTGTTGTAATATATTCATTCATTCACCACGGGCAGTCGGCGAGGGACACATGGCACTAAACGTATGACCTCTTGCGACAGCGTCCGCATAAACTGCACTTGCTGCCATAGACCGGCATGTCTCGAGTGATTTGTTTGACCCACGTCCTACGGGTGTGGTGCCATTCCTTTGAGGGTCACAGGTCCACCTTTGAACGTCGACCGCCAACTGAAGTGCGCAATTTTGGTGGAATTTGCGCATCAAGACGGGCCGACGTGGCGTGAAACGTGTATATACATTCTCCGCTGTGCCCATCGTTGGTTTGTGTTGTTGTTGTTCTCGTGCGTGGCGTCGCGTAGTACGAGCAGATGCGATACTGCGCCAAGGCGCTGTCATGGCTCATCGAAGCCCAGAAGGAAACGAACAAAGACTTTACCATGGTGCCACCGGTGTGTCCAGGTGAGACCATCGCTATGCTTGTGCGACAACAATGCCACTCGCTTTGCGCCAGAGCCGGGTCGCCGAGTTACACCACGCGGAGGCTTGGCAGCGTCTGGCTGGCTCGCCTCGTTACACCTGGCCCCCCTCCCCCGTCACAACTGGCTGTGCCGTCAGGATTGGAATATGTTTATACTGGAGGAATGAAGCTCTTCTTATACAGATGTTCAGTAGGCGGTGGCCATTTTGAGACGGAGACGTTGTCCTTGTACTCTGGACGGATGGACTGTTGGGAGTGGCCGGCTGGGCTGGAGTTAACTATGGTCCTTGGCCCGCTCAAGTGCAGTAGTAGTAGTCATAGGTTACCCAGGAGAGCATCACAGAGTCTCTAGACTCATTCGCAGGAGGTGTGGTCCTGCCTTGAACAATTCCTTCTGAATAGGGGCGTGGCTTTGTATGGGAGGGAATCTGAGCACCCAGAGAAAATCCACGACACAATCGAGGGGACAACGCTGACAGTTCCGCACAGATGGCCCCACAAAATGCGCGTTGCTGTATTGACGTCGCCCCGGCCACCGTGCAGTTTCGGCGAGTTTCACGCGTCCCCATTGTGATCCGCCAATCTTTCGTCTCCAAAGGGCTGGATCTGAAGCACGCATAGCCACCACCACGGGGCGGCGCCTGACATCGTCAAAAACGTGGGTGGAACCCTGCGAGCACAAACGCACACCGCACCGTGTGACTGGTGGGCTCCATACGTCGGTCGCGTTGTCAGCCCCAAATATGTTAATCACACCTCCGATTAGCCTAGTTGGCTACGTATGGTGTGAAAGAAGTTGAACGTACATGCATACATAATCATCAGGCGTGTGACAATTACCACACTTAACTATGTTTTACCACGTAAAGCCCAATGAGCTATACAGCTCTTTTTCAGAAGCGACCTGGCCACAAACAATGGCTCAACTAAGTGGCTTATCACTTGGAAATGTATAGCAACCAAATACTCTAAATGCACGTTGCTTATAAATGTGGAGGGGAAAAACTAGAGGACCCGAAGAAAAATCCACGAGACCACGGGGAGAGGGACAAGCAAACTCCAAATATACAGCAGGCGTCTGGGTCGGGATCGAACCCACGACTTCCTGCATACCAGGTGGAGGAAGTCAACATCTCGCCTCTTACCTCTGATACATGCATGCATTGCATTGTGTGCGTCTAGGAATCGATCGTGGTACATGCACATCGTAAGCAAATTCTGTCGATGCCCCCTATGACCAAATCGGCTGGAATGCGAGCCATCTCGTTAGACGTCACGAGTTAAACAGGGTTGAGTCTGGATAGCAATTGGCCGAGTGACCACCGGGCACAGCGCAGGTGCTACAGGCTGTTGCTGCTGCGTGGCAATGCGACAAAATTCATCGTACTGTACTTCTGTGCCGCGCCAATCCCCCCACCACCACCTTCATCAACCGGCACTGACCATCGTGGTGAAGTATGGTGAAGTAGCCCCCATGGCCAATAAGGCATGGGGAGACCTTCACCGGACATACGAGATGGTACGAACGAGACGACAAGGAATCAGTCCTTCAAGCAAATCATGGCTTTGAATGAACACAATTCGTTGAAGCGAGTTGGTGGCGGAACGGGGGAGGATTTATTTGCATGCGCGTTAAAGATTTCGCAATGTTCCACGTAAAATCTGTTGGATTCTTGCCAAACTTTCCCAAATTAGATTTCGAATTAATGATTACCCGGAGTGGCCGGGCAATGGTGGCCCAGAGGTCAGAGAGGCACCGAGTTGGCGCCGTTGACAACCGCAAGTTTTCGAGTCTCGAGTTTCAGCCACCCCGTGGATTAAGCCGGGTTCTCAAGGGTGGCGAGTTGATGGTTAATCGGAGTAGCTCCACAAGAATTAAAATAAAACCCATCGCGTTAAATCTGGTCCTGTTTGTATGCATGTTGAACTGCTTTCGCACCGTACGTAGCCACGCGTGCTAATCAAAGGTGCGGGGGAAGGACAACAAACCATGCACGTGCCTGATATGACTACCCCCCCTCCCCCCCCATTGTCCAAGCCAGAAGTAACTTGAAGGAGTCTTGGAAGTTCAGTGACCCCCATGGGGGCGTTGTCTAAAATGCAGGGTTGCAACGGCTCTCTGCGAGTGGTTGAATTCTTCATCCTATCACACGATGCTGATGGCACGGTTGGGATAGAATTGTGGATAAAGGAAAGAATATATAGTTGTATATATATTTTTAAAAGTCTGAATTATTATTTTTCGCCAGGGCCTAATGTGGGTGGAGCTGCAGTGGAAGGTGGCTTGTAGTCGAGGAGACGACCACATGCCGTGTGTTTTTAATGCTTTCCAGCTATTGTTAAAAGCACTAATATCTCTTTGTTCCGTCTCTCTCTCTGTCTGTAATGGCAACTCTCGTAAAAACCATTCAACGCAATTTACATTGTCGTTCATATTTGTGCTGCTCTTTGGCACTTAGCCTCTCCAAAGGGGTTGCCCAATACATGGCGATAAAAAAACATACATGGCGATAAAAAAAAACCCCAACGTCAAATGGATGAGCATCTCAGGCCGAGGCTGGCGACGTCACAGGACGTACGCGCTGCCTCGCCGTGACGTCATTACGAGCGGCGGCGTCTCGTTGTGCGTGGCGCAAAGGTGCCGTAATTTCCGCCGATTTGGTCGACTCCGAGGGACGAGCGCGCTTTTGGCAGGCGACGCAGGGATCCACGCACGCGCTGTTGACCTTTCTTCCTTGCTCGTTCCTTGGCAGACTTGGGCGAGACGAAGTGAGCACCTCGGCTTGCGGTGAGCGCGCATCTCCCTCGGCCGGCCCTCGCTGCCGCTGCACGTACGGTACATTTCAGGAGCCGCGGATGACGTCGATTGCTGTCGACTTCTCTGCGAACGCGCACCCAACGAACTATTGTCACTCATTTGTAAAAAAAGAATAGTAAAGATCGGCTGACGTGATTCACATGTATCCCGTAACGTAGTGACGCGCGCGCGTGTCGCGGTATCTGTGTGCGCTGGGGCGTATGAGATATATCGAATCGCAATCGTGCACAAATAACCAAATGTCAACACGTTCGTCAATAACATTGCCCTAAAGAGGATAACAGATTTACAGGAGAGTGGCCAATGTTTCAGGGAATGGCCCTTTCCTGGCTCTGTTTGGAAATAGGGCCTTGCCCAGAATGTCACCTGTTGCGTATACGGTGAGGGCTAGGTTCTTGAAAATCTGCTCCAAAGTGGAATATGTGAAACATAGATACTGTGCTGTGTCCGACTGAGTATACGGGACCAAATGAAAATGTCAATTCCTCCGCTTAGACCCCGTAAGTGAAATTAAGAAACCACCACAAATAAGGCAAGAATAGCACTAAAATGCAATGGCACTTGAGGTGTAAAAGCATCAGTGTGCTGACCCGGGCATACGAGCTACAACCTGCTTACCGTAAAGGGTGGTAAAGATGTCTTGCGACCCCCATTTAATTCTCTGAAACGTAATATTTTTGCAAATAAGGCTTATTTAAAACGTGAATGAATATGCAAAGGAAGAAAAAATGTTAGGGGTCAATTAATTGATGGGGTCACAAGACATCTGGACTACCACCCTGTTCAGTGGACAAGTACAGTACCCCTCCCCATGGTGCGATGTTGCCAAACTGCGAATATTTGAGGGAAAAGGGCGTGAAAGTTGAGCTGGTATACACATATTTCATTGCATATAGTCGAATTTCGGGAGAGTAAAATCTGCGAATGAAGAGGTTGGCCTGTACCTCCGTCCTCGGGGCAGTGTTACTGACGGACGTGTTGAGTTTTTGTTATGTCGAGATCGTAAATGATCATCGGAGGTGAAATGTGGTGTAAAATGTTCAATGTGACAATCATAAACTGTCAAGTAATATTAGTTACTTAAGAGGTGTGGGATATATATAATGTGGTGGAATACGTTTCATAATTTGTGTTGGAGCTGTGGCCCAAGGAAGCTTACAACGAGTAGACCAGGGGTGGTCGAACCGCTGCTCATGAGCGGCATGCGGCCCTCAAGGGCCTTCGATGGTGTTTGAAACAGTAATTCTGCGGAATCCGGAGGGGCCCACTCACATTTGGCGGCAGAGCCAGGCGTGAGTGCACCTGGGGCGCTCCCACAGATTTCGCAATTCAAAAACTAAACTGTTTTAAACTAAACTATATATATATATTTTATCAGGTAAGGCCCACTGAGCTATGTAGCACTTTTTCAGAAGCGACCTGACTATCACAAATGATAGCTCAACGAAGTGGCTTATCATCACGTGTAATTGTACAGCAGCCAAATACTCTAAACGCATGGCGACGTTGATTCTAAATGTGGAGGGAAAAACCGAAGGACGGACCAGGAGAAAAATCCACGCCACCACGGGGAGAGAGGCACGCAAACTCCAAATATACAGCAGGCGTTAGGGTCAGGATCGAACCCACAACCTCCTCCATACCAGGCAAGGCAGTTGGCATCTCGCCACCGTGGCGCCCCTAAAACCCGGTACGATCAAACCGTAACCACCGCGTTGTGACCCCGCTCAGAGTCTTTGTGGCATGCGACTCGTAGGGTCAGCAAGTTTGGCCACCCCTGTAATAGACTCTGATCTCATTTAAATGAATGAGATGTTTGTACTTGTCCAGCCTCGGGATAATTTTGTGGGTAGGGGGTTAAGCGCCAGAAACGTTGCTCCTTCTGTCGGGTTTCCAATCATCATTAGTTTCGTTCCTGTACCATTGCATGGGTGGCTCGGAGATGAGAGTGCCGAGTTGGTTCCCTCGACATATCCTGGGTTACAATCCGGGTTTTTAGCTGCTCTAGCGAAGCGAATGATCTCAGCCGAGTCACCAATAACTGCACACATTTGGTTGGGGGGGGGGGGGGGGGTGTTTTTTTTCTCTTTCAATAATTTCGGAAAACATTTAAAACTTTGTGATTTTTCTACTTTTTTTGTTCCGAATATCGTACAATGAATATCTCTACAGCAGGACGCGTCGGTAAGTGGAGTGTCCCTCCGGTGTGGATAAAAGGTCATGTGCAGGGATATCAGAAGCAGTTCTGTGACAGCACCTTCTGCGGGACCATTCTCAAGCACGTGGGGATGATGACCCTTTTTTGTTTTTTGGTACGATGCCCTACTTTGCGAGGGTTCTGAAACGGACTCTTTGGTGACGTTGACGCCAAGGGCGCAATTGGAATCGAAATTTGGTTAACGCGAATTTTATTTTTGTAAACGTACTTCTTTTAACCTGCGTGCCACACGGTGACCATGTAATAGTGTACGTGTGGGATGTGCAGAGCAGAGACTGCGCCTCTTGTCTCGAGGAGCGGGTGATAACGGTGTATAACCTAGTCCACGTACAGAGCCAGAAGTCGACAGCATGCAAAGTGACAAGCCGAAGACCAAAATGCAAATTGGGTTCCCACGCATACCATCAAATCACTCAGACCCCCACCCCCAGAGTGCACTTCTCAGAAGCTAAGCGGGGTCGAGCCTGGTCGGTGCTTTGATGCGCATCCACCATTCACAGTCGGGTTGTCTGCAATGCCTCGTGGTGGAAGGCTGTGCGGCAAATTCTCGTGTTGTATTCGACTATCGTTCCCTATTCACCATAGGGAGGGCTTCACCAGATCCTGTCTGTCTGGCAGTGACCGAGCCACCACCGGGAACGATTCGCCAGTTAGCCGCTGCCGTTACGTGTGTTTAGGGAGTGTTTTTTATTTGAATCGTACGGAAAAAAATTGAACAAATCTTCTTCTTTTTCACGTCACGATTGCCTTAGATTTGTTGAACCGTTCGTCACGCGCTCGACAGTTACTGTCTTGACGTGCTGTGGTTGCCGAGACGTCGATATAAATGTACGATTAAGAATAAAATAACATTTTTACAAACCAGTCGGCGCATGTAAATGTTTTATTTATATTTCAGGACAACATGTAACCGGTTGAATTCATTCGATGCGGGGGGGGGGGCATTTTCTGCTTTGTTGTTGTTTTGTGGGGGGAGGTCAACCCGCCCCCTGCACCCCCAGGGCATCCCTGCAGAAGACACCGTGTTACTGGAGAATCGCGACAGATGAGCCAGCCACAGCTTTGCGTAAACCACATTAATACATGCACAGTTTCTCAGAAAGCCGCTCGGTAAATCACAACCACTCCCAAACACCGAGGCCAAGCAAAAGCCACGCAAACACAAGAACCATCCCCGCCACACAAACACAAGAACCATCCCCGCCACACAAACACAAGAACCATCCTCGCCACACAAACACAATAACCATCACCGCCACACAAACACAAGAACCATCCCCGCCACACAAACACAAGAACCATCCCCGCCTCTCTGGACACACCGTGGCGGCCTTCAGAGGTGCTCGCTAACAGCACTTTGCCCAACAGTCGCACACATCCTGATCACACACACACGTACTGATCACACACACGTACTGATCACACACATACTGATCACACACACGTACTGATCACACACGTACTGATCACACATCCTGATCACACACGTACCGATCACACACATGTACTGATCACACACGTACCAATTACACATGACTGATCACACATCCTGATCACACACGTACTGATCACACACGTACTGATCACACACGTATCGATCACACACGTACTGATCACATATGTACTGATCACACACATACCGATCACACACGTACTGATCACACATCCTGATCACACACGTACAGATCACACACGTACTGATCACACATCCTGATCACACATCCTGATCACACACGTACTGATCACATACGTACTGATCACACACGTATCGATCACACACGTACTGATCACATATGTACTGATCACACACGTACCGATCACACACGTACTGATAACACATCCTGATCACACATGTACTGATCACACACGTACCAATCACACAAATGTACTGATCACACACGTACTGATCACACACGTATCGATCACACATCCTGATCACACATCCTGATCACACACTGCACATACTAAGGTCTGAAATGGTAAATGAGAGGGCGGTGTGTCCAGCACCATCGCCCGACCACCTTTGTCTCCCCAATGGTGATGTTTACACGCCGACAAGTCCAGCTCAGTCGGCCAGTTTATTTGGGGTAAGGCCCATCGAACCAAGATTGAAAAGAGAACAGAAACTGTGAAAGAGATCCTGACAGAGTGCCAGAGATAAGATTAGGGGGGGGGGGGGGGTTGATTACAGTACTCGTGGTGAGTTGCATCAGGCTCGGGTCGGTGAGAGGGATAGAACTAGTGGCTAGTTGGCTAGGGTGAGTGAAAGGGCTAGTACTAGTAGCTAGTTGGTTATGGTTAGTAAAATGGCTAGTGGCTAGTTGGTTATGGTCAGTGAAATGGCTAGTACTGGTCGCTAGTTGGTTAGGGTCAGTGAAATAGCTAGTTCTAGTGGCGAGTTAGGGTGAGTGAAAGGTCGAGTGCTAGTGGCTAGTTAGTTAGGGAGAGTGAAAGGGCTAGTTCTAGTGGCTAGTTGGTTAGGGTCAGTGAAATGGCTAGTACTAGTGGCTAGTACTGGTGGCTAGTTGCTTATGGTCAGTGAAATGGCTAGTTCTAGTGGCTAGTTGGTTAGGGTCAGTGAAATGGCTAGTACTAGTGGCGAGTTAGTTATGGTCAGTAAATGGCTAGTACTAGTGGCTAGTTGGTTAGGGTCAGTGAAATGGCTAGTACTAGTGGCTAGCTGGTTAGCGTTAAGGTCAATTGCATTAGAACAGTGCTCGTGGCTAGTTGGTTGGTTCGGCGGGATGGCTTGCACGGGAGGCTCGTTTGGGACAGGGCTAAGATTCGCTTGGCTAGAATGCTGCACTTCCCAAACAGTCTAGTCACCCTCTCCATGGGTCAATGTTGCCTTTATTTTTTTAGACCGTTTTCTTTCTGACGTGGAACAGCACAATGGAAGGCAGTACCATAAAGAAACACAAGGCACTGGACGTTTGGGTGAATCGGTAGTAAAAAAGACTGTCAGTAATTATTGGCGAAATGTCGTACTCAGATTGTAAATGTTATGGATTTGCTCTTCAACACAAGTAACGAATTGGCATGTTCTGTTTACGTGACAAACATTACTTGTTGGCTGTGTGGGGTGGTGGCGGGTTTAACGACACATTTATATTTACGTGATCAAACCCAAAAAAACTATTATGATCGTCCGATCAAATGCAATGTTACGTTGATGCTCGCTTAAATGCCTTCAATTTACTTCCGCGCGAAAAACCAGAAAATTTAAACTCGCCCACATTGATTCACAATAACAATTGTGTTTAAATGAACAAAGTCTTGATAAACTCACGTTTTGTGTTATAGGTACAGTGCCTTGAGTAGCTCTTTGACTGGGGTTGCCCGGGATACGACAATAATATTCCCAGAATCAGAATATTTATACTGGAGGAATCCGATGAGCTACAAAGCTCTTTTTCACAGATGTCCAGCGTCACGCGTGCTCACCCAGGAAAAGCCTCGACTTAGTCTCACGACTATTTTTCAGGTCACCAGTAATCGTGTCGTTCATTTAGCACGGGGGTGGGGAACGTCTGGCTCGCAGGCCGTATGAGGCCCGCGAAATCAATTGGTGTCTGGCTCTGCCAAGGTAACCGCAGGCGGGACTCGAAATTCAATAAAT